TGGCAGGTGGGTGAGTTTCATTGAGTTTAATGTTTTATTATTTTGTTTATGTATCTGTAAATAAATGTTTTTTACATTGGTAAGAAGTTGGTGGGACAATGTAAGAATAGGATTTGATGGAAATTATTATACATTTTTGTGAATTTTTTTGTACAACTTAATTATGTAAATTTGGCTGATTTGATGTCCAATTTTTACAAGTTTGTCAACTGAAGATGAAAATAGACAGAATAGGACGCTAAATAAAATTGGACTAAACATGGATTTGATGGCTAGCTGGATAAAATAAGTGTTCAGTATACAAGCTTTCACAATTTGCAGGTATCTACGTCTTTAGTTGTCCCATTGTTGTAGAACTATTGTAAAATTGCTGTAAGATTATTGTAAAATTATTGTAAAATAATGAGGAAAATATGTTAAATAGCACATGAATGTCTCAATTAATCGAATATTTAGAAAAATTTGCATTATTGCAATTGTATTTGCGTGTAAATCATTTTCGTGCATTTTCATGCACTTTTTCGGATTTGTAGTCGGTGTTATTAAACGTTTCAACACGTTTCCGTGCACTAATTTGGTGCAGGTGTTAGTTAACAGCAGAAAAACTAGTTATAATGACCTGAATTAAGCAATTTTTTCACAGGTCACAGTCTCGGTGCGGCTGTAGCTTCAGTTACGCTGTTCAGGCTGAAAGAGGAAATCCAACTTCCCTGGGATTTTCCTACTCCGAAATCCTACTCTTATTTTGGATACGGCACGCCCCGCGTGGGAAACCAGGCCTACGCGGACTACTGGAACGGTCAAGAAATGCAGCTTACCCGGGTTGTCAATAAGGCGGATTTCGCCGCGCATGCGCCATCTTCCCTGGCTGGATACGTTCATCACGGCAACGAGTTATGGATTATGCCGTCCGGAGAAGAAAAAGTGTGTTCCAAGACGGTCTACGAAGATGAAAAATGTGCCAATTCCGTCGCCTCCATGGTGAATCTGCCAGAAATTGCTCAAGTACTCAAAATTTGGAAATAAATTTAGCAAAAGTTCATAAAGTTAGCAAAATATTTCCATTACCACCCGTCTCAAAAATTTACATAACACACGAATAAAAGTGGAATAAATTCCACTAAATTGGGAGAAATGGAAGCGTTTTTTGTCGTCCGTTGGGTTAAAATTATGAAGCTTCACGCCCTCTTAATTTTTACCTTGTACGTAATTTCGCAACTTCAATTTTTTCAATGTGCCGAAGCCATTCTGACGCCACACGAAATCGCTACGACGCCCATAACGATCGCGTCCTACGGACCGGATGTGGCCCGAGCCAAGAAATAAGTCTACTTGTCCGGGGCTGCCTACTGTTTCTGTTAAAATATGCATGTTAACAAAGTTTTCCATATTTATCAATTTTTAAGTTTGTCGACTTTTATGAGGGCTGAGCATTTTCCAACCTTTTTCCCAGGACAAGGGATTAAAAGGGTCCTTTTGTTTTTATGCCTCATTAGAAGGGACACTTTGTTTGAGCATAACTCTGCGTAGTTTGTATGGTCACTTCTGACCACATATTATTACATATGTATGAATGTCTCCTATGTACTGTCAAAACCTTAAAACCAAGTTGTTTAATAAAAATCACCATCAGTCTAAAAATATCTTCCAGCGAGATCATTTTTACTTTCATGGTAGCAAAGCCGTTAGTTTGTATGATTCATATTGTTGGTCTCAACCTGCCTCATTGAGTGTCTCAAAAGTGCCCCAGTCTCAGAGTCTGTTAAAGTCTCACAACGAGAAGAACCGTTTCCTGTTCAACACTTGATAAACTGAAGTAGATCAGTGTTATTGTTGTGAAGTGAAAAGTGAATTCATCAGTTAATAATAGCAGTAAGTCTCCACTGCCCAGTGCCAGTCTGGACGGAGTAAGCCTGTAAAAGTGTGCCGTGAATTGGACCATTGTTTGGACAAGAGACATCAACCCTTTGACTCTACACGAAGCTGAACCTTCCGCCCGAGGACGAGTTTTATTGAGGACGACCACTCTACCCAAATCCTGAGTTCCCGTCTACCAAATCTCGACCTTTTTCGATTCTACTGCTCTTTATTAGGCAAAGAGAAGGTAACAAGTCTATTTCTGTTTTTCGCTTCTGCTTTCCCTACTCCACAACGACAAGATGACATCAACAATCAAAAGAATAGATGTTACGCACATTGTCAAGCTAGACGACACCAATTACGCGAGGTGGAGACTTCAGATAACTTTACTTCTCAAGTCACATGACCTGTGGGAAGTGGTCAACGGCACTACCCAACGACCCGCAGATGAAGCGCAACAGCCAGCATGGGATAAGAAGGATATACAAGCACAATCCATCATTGTCCCCACTCTCAGTGCCACTCAAACAAATCATATTTATGACTGCGCTACATCAAAAGCAATGTTTGACAAGCTGAAAAGCATCAATTCATAACAAACAACATACCATGGCTAGATTCTTCAATTACAAAATTGGCAAGAGTCAGTCATTGATTGAAGCATTTGCAGAGGTGGAAGAGCTGGGCAGAAGACTAAATGAAATGGGAGTCGTCATGCCTGAAGCATCCATTGTCACAAAGATTGTCTCAAGTCTCCCCGACGAGGAGTATAATGCCTTCAAAAAGGCATGGGACAGCGTTCCGGATAAGGACCAGAGCATGATAATGCTACTTGCCCGTCTGAAGAAGGAGGAGTTGGAGAGGAAGGAATCCAAACCAGCAGCAACCAATCAAGATGCAGCAAAGGCATTCTTGACCCATGACCAGAAGAAAGGCAAGAAGAAACAGAGCATTGAAGAGTTGAAAAAGGCAACAACCTGCCATGGGTGTGGGAAAAAGGGCCACTGGAAAAGGGAATGCAGGAGTAATCCACAAAATCAGAGCAATAAACCTTCAGATAATCCCGCACAAGCCAATAGAAGCCCTGGGAAAGCGTTCATGCTAAATGCAATACAAACCCCCATGCAAGCACCCGTGACTGAACAAGTGTGGCTAAGCGATTCTGGAGCTAACCAGCATGTCTGTGGAGATAAGGCATGGTTTACAAGATATGAAGAGTTTGACACTCCCAAGTCAGTCTTCCTAACGGACAAAAGGGCTACACAAGCACTAGGAAAAGGGACAGTGACACTTGACGCTTACATCAACGGCATATGGGAGGAATGTACCATAGATAACGTGTTGTACATACAAGGGGCTGTCAACCTTTTTTCTGAGGGATCAATGGCTAAGAAAGGGTACTCCATCGTCCGTGACAAGAATGGAGCAACATTTTATCAGGATGGACGGTTTAAGGGGCCAATTGCCGAGTTCAAGAATGATATGTATGTCATGAAGTTTCGTCCCACTTCACAAATTATTGCTGCATACATGCATCCTGTGACTAATGCTAAACTATGGCATCAACGCTTGACACACATTAATATGAACTATGTGGTGGACTCCATCAAGAAAGACGCAGTTCGTATTACATATGTTCATATATGTTCATATTACATATTATTACATATGTATGAATGTCTCCTATGTACTGTCAAAACCTTAAAACCAAGTTGTTTAATAAAAATCACCATCAGTCTAAAAATATCTTCCAGCGAGATCATTTTTACTTTCAGTTTCGACATTCCCGCCTGGATGTGTCCGTACTGCCAGAAAGCGCAAAGTTTTGGGTATGAATTCCACGCCCAAATTGTCAACAAGGAGGCCAACACGCTGGCTTTTATCGCGATTAAGAAACTCAAGGAAATCGTGGTTTCGTATCGGGGAACGCTAAATACGGCGAATCTGGTGGCGGATATCCACCCTTCCACTGTGAGCCTTGATACGGGTTCCAGTCCCCTTAAGAGGGGAAAGAGTAAAGGACCCGAAATAAGGATTCACACAGGCATGATTAACGCGACTAACTCACTCTACCCGGAAGTAGTGGAAAAATTGGGCAAGGTTTTGAAAGAGAATGAAGACTTTGATGTGGTGGTGATAGGTGAGTGGGTTTTGTTGTGTGGTATTTTTCAGGGTAATTGGTACACGTTTATAACGCGGGTGATAATTGGGGGGAAAGTTTACTTGTGGAATTTTGTTAGTTTTTGGCATGATTAAACCTTATAAATAAGTGCGACTATGGCGCTCAATTTTGACAGCCAGTGTTTCGCTTTGGTAGAAACCTGATATGCTGGTCCAGCGGCTTTTGACCGAAAGTTTAACTACTGTGAAAATTTACTCTATTTTGAAATTTTGTCATTAGAAAGGTTAAACAGTTTTGGACACTTTTGATTAAATCGATTCCCAAATGATTTTTAATGCCAAAATTGGAAATCAGTTCGTCACAATCATTTTACCATGCTTAGCCAAAGTGCGAATTACCTATGAAATATTGAAAAACTATGTTTGTCAACAGGTCACAGTCTCGGCGCAGCAGCCGCGATTTTAACCCTTTTCCTGCTAAAAGAAGAAATCCGACTCCCCGCAGATTTTCCCACACCTAAATCGTACGCCTATTTCGGCTACGGCACTCCCCGCTTGGGAAACCAGGCTTACGCGGACTACTGGAACGGTCAAGAAATGCAAATTACCCGGGTCGTAAATAAGGCGGATTTTTGCGCGTATACGCCATCTGCTCTGGGTGGGTACGTCCACAATGGGAACGAATTATGGCTCACGCCGACCGGAGAAGAAAAAGTGTGCTCCAAAACGGTCTACGAAGATCCAAATTGCGCCAACTCCATTCGCCCCTTGTCAAATGTGCATGACCATTTGCATTACTGGGATGTCCACTTTTTGTCATGCGCAGGAGCAGATCCAGTCTCTACGGTGGGACAATTCGTCATTAATGTGTAAAAGTGAGAAGGAATTTGCAGATATCATGTTTTCTTTGACTTTCCAGTAAACAATTAAAAAATACTTTTCTTTTGTTCAAAATTAAAGTTTTTAATTTTGTATGCACCAATTCCCGGTTTCTAATAAAGCTTCCATCTAAATTGTGCTACAAATCAGGCTAATTTATTATTAATCTCATAGTAGTATTTCTATGAACCAAGTCATTATTTTGAAACTGGAGGTCCTCTCTCAAATATTTAGGCATATTTAATTTATAACTTTTTATAAAGATGTTATTTAAATAAGTTTATTTGTGGGGATACAAGTCTACATATGTATTTTTGATTCCATTATCCAATTAAAATTTTGCTTTATTTCAGATCTTTGGTCAAATAAAATTCTGCATTTTTATCGAAGTATAGTTATTTTGTTGTCAAAATCCATGTGTTAATGAGTGCAAATGGGTTCACATTCATATCTTGACGGGAAATCGCACGCATTAACGCCCTTCGTCGGATTGAAAACGAGGTCGGAGGGACACTTCATGGAATACGGGATATTGTTGGCGCATTCGTAGTAGGAATGACAATCGTACGGGTCGGATCTAAATTGCAGGCCAGGAATGCACGTGACGTTGCAGGGCGTGACGACCGTGTCCAGCACGCGGAAAACCCAGGCCCCAGGAATGTTGATGTTGGTCGTTTGGGCGAGATTGATAGCGTTGGTTGTGCAGGAGCCAGGAAGGACGAATCGACTCACGCCATCTCCCGAATCGAAACCCGCCATGGCGGGATGTTTGCCGTTAGTTCCTTAATGTGAAAGATGAAAATATTTATTTACTGACAAGTTTGCGGCTCTTTTTCCTTCGCGAAAATACTTCCTGGCACTTTTGAAGGCTTACATATTTTTAACCACTCGTCCTTAAAACTTTTCCAAAGTCCATCTAAAGTCGTAGGTAATTGTACATTTTCTCCACGACGAACAGCAAATTGATAATCTCATAATGCCTCAATCATTGAAAGTCAAGGTGTGGAGCCTATGTTTTTTATTAAATTTACAATGACATTGAGTTGTGTCTCATTTTGCTCCGTGTTCAAACCAAGTTCCAGCGCCCAGGTTCAAATTGGATAGACAAACAGAGTTAGTCACCGCTATTCTTGGTATTGATAGATCGTAAGAGGTTAAGGCGAAGCAAAAAATTGCGTAGTTTTAAACTAGGGGTTAATGGCAAATAACCAAAATCGTTTTAAAAAAAGTAACACACATTTAACAATTTCTCATCTAAAGGAATTTGCAGACTCTGGATTCTGGGTGATTAATTTGTAGTCCGCAATTTGGCAAATAGAATGGCGATGGGGTTTTCGATTAATTTCAGCCAGCTTCCGTGAGTTCCAATTTTTCTAATGTCTATTTAAACTTAAGTTCCCCCCCCCCTCAAAAACTGTCAAATTTGGAGTGTATTATTTTATTTTGCAACTACCAAGTCTACAAATTGGTCCTCCACAATTTTAAATTAAATTCGGACAGTTGAGAAATGACTAAATATAATCTGATTTTAACTCTTTTAGAGAGATGTCATAATACTTTGCTATTTTTTGCTGTATATTTTTTCCCAGGTTGTTTGTACAAGGAAGGCTTAAAACGAAATCTATCTATATTAGCCAGAAATCGTTTTTTGTTAGAAAAAAGTTCAATAAATTCCATCTTTTAAACTTACCTGTGCAAGGGTCTCCCCCATCACCGAAGGTCTCACTTGGCGCATCCGTCCACTGTATTTGATGATATAAATAAATAATGAAGGCATCCACTTGGCCCCTCACCAAAATCGTTTGGAACGTGTTTCTTAACCCGAGCCCGGGACAGGTGTCCGTTTCCGGTTGGGCGTGGCAAAACGGGACGTTGTACGTCGTGGCGATGAAGGCATACTGGAGCGCCTGAAGGTCCAGGGCATCGTCGGGGAAGGCCTTTTGCAAAAATGGGAGCACCTTCGACATGGTGTCACTTTCGGTGGCTTGGCGATAAAAGATATCCCCACCCAACCGGATGTCAGGATCGGCCCAGAGTGGAGTGATCATTGGGAGGGGGAGTGGACCACATTGCGGGATGAACTCGGTGGTGCCTACATACGAAATAATTAAAAAACAATTTGAAATTTTCTTTTACAATTTATGAGAAGAGTAAGAAGTTTGAACAGTTTCTTTTTTGGAAAATTTGGCAGTTTTTTTTATACACATTTGGCTAAATTTTCTTAAGAAAAACTTTACGCCGAGAAATTTGTGCAAAAGCGCAGAGTTATGCACATGCATACATACGTATTCGCGTATCTGTACCGCTCTTTAGAATAAATCCATATCTATATGTAGATTTTATTTTGAACTATGAAGAAAAGTTGTGAAGAATAAGAAAAATATGCATCTAGCTTTACCTAGAATTTCGAATTCTGGATTCTATTCGCAAGTATATTTACCATTTAAGAGTGAGATTCCGCCATTCGTGTTGAGGAATATGGTGTCGTACTGCGTCTCTACAAAGATCCAGGGATCGTAGGAGAGCGGGATTTGAGCGAAGGCATCGTCCGCATGTTGGAGGGGGCTGTCGCCATGGTCAGTGCCGAAGGGGATGAGACCGTCCAGCGGGAGGCCGGTGGACCCTTGCGTGATGCCGTGAAGGCTGGTGGGACTAATTTATTACATTTAAGAGAAGATTGTTTGATAGGTAGTAATTATTTTAGTGTTGGGGAATTCATTGCGAGTTCGTAATTTTGAGGAAAAAAGTTCACGAATGAATTCTCAAGAAAATTTGTTTTTGCAAACTTGCCAACTTTAGTTTAACGATGCGAACTCGTAAAGAAGATCCAAATTATTATAAATATTTATCGTACTTATGAAGGGTAAGACTAGATCTAAGCGGTGCGTCATGTCGGGTCGGGATGTGGCTGAAATTGTATATATTTAAATTAAATTGGTATATAAGTATGTTTCCGGTCTAACTATATACTATTTATGTACATTTGTACATAGGTACATACATACATATTTATGTATATTTATGTAAAGCTGACTCCTTTGTAATCAGCTTTTCTGATATGTAATTTGTGTTATGTGTGTGCAATGATAATAAGCGAAATAAAGAGGATAGTAAGTGCATATTTTCCACGAAATTAATAAATATTTTAATTTAAATAATCTTCTTTACCTTGCATATCCTTTCGGGCCGAATTTTCTTATCTTATTTTGAAACGGCTGGACAGCCGTGTAAGAAACGATTTGACGATTTGATCCCGTAATTGGGCTGATTTCAAAAAAATGAAAGTCAAATTAATTCCAGTTTTTACTAAACTTTAAAACTTAATTAAACCAAAATGTAATTCATAACTACAATTTAATTTAAAATTGATTTGTAAAAAATAAGTTAAAATTAATTTGCCTCAAGTTGTCTGGAGTGTGATCTTGTCCCTCGTAGAAAAGTCTTGCCAGGGTGAAGATAATGTACGGAATGTACATTTTTGAGAGAAAATTTACCAAGTTTGTAATGCTATGGTTACTTCGAGAATGACGGAAAAGCTGGAAGGCTGCCGCTATTTATGCGAATTTATTGCCGGATTGAGTTCGATAATAAAATTGAGTTAAAATATGTATTAATTTATGAAGCGTCAGCAGTGACCGGTCGTCCACACCACTTACTCTTAAGAAATTGCAGTCCAGCAGAAATTATGAAGTTAACTTGAAGGAATTTATTCTCAATATTCTTGTGTACAATACTGTTATTGATGAATTGTGGAAATTTATACATAAATACATAAGTAAAAATTGTACGCATCTGCAATTCATGACGCAGTGAAGATAAAGTTAAAGAATGAGCATGATTCGGTGAACTGAACAAATATGTATAAAAATAATCTACTCGCAGTTTTTATTGCAGTTGCATTTTTATGAATGGACGGATTTATCGAATTCATTGAGTATGTATGTATGAATGTATGTATTTATGTATGTATAAACATACATGTTCAAAAAATATTTATTTATTCAAAGTTCTGTACTTTATGGCAAGCATACACACTTTCTTAAATAAGATTTATGTAGTAGCTTCAAATTTCAGAGTCCAAAAAATTCTAATGTCCACCGTCCACAGTGGACACGCATGTCCACATTAGGTTATCGCTGCAGTGTGACTGGTGATTAAGATATTTACTCTAAAAGTACCCAAATCGCCCAAAATAAAAAATACAGTGTCGGACAGATGTCTACGTCCACATAGTCGCGTCAATTTCATTTTCAAATTGTCACTGAACTACTGAACCAATTTTCATCATTGATATATCAAATTCTCACAAATTTAACGTAATTTCATAGCACATTATTAGTTTTCCGCTAAAAAATTTATTTTAGGCCAGAGATGTATTTTAATTCAAAATGAAAACAATTGGATGGACAAAAATCAACGTCCAGTCAGAGAAAACATACAAAAAAAACTGTAATTTATAAGGAATGTTATAACAATTAATTTTTAATATTTGGTTGGGCCTCCGTTCGCTTTAAGCACGGCTTCAAGGCGTCGAGTCATAGAGTTTACCAAATTCTTGGTCACATCTTCAGAAATGGTTTCCCAAACTTCACGAATTCTGGATTTTAGGCCCGGAATTCCTGAAAAAGATTTTTTTCTTATTTCTCTTTCAATGTGGTCCCACAGATGCTCAATGGGATTCAAGTCTGGAGATTGGGGAGGCCATTCTAGCTTCGGAATTTTTTTTTCTTGAAGTATTCCATGGTGGACGTGGCAGAGTGTTTCGGATCGTTGTCTTGTTGGAAGGCAAATCGTCGTCCAAGTCCAAGTTTTCGAACAGATTCCTGGATATTACGGTCAAGTATTCCCTGGTACTTGTATTGGTCCATAATTCCGTCAACAAATTCCATTTTTCCTGCCCCACTTGAAGCCATGCATCCCCACACCATTACCGACCCGCCGCCGTGCTTAACTGTGGGGTTGAGATTTTTTGGATTCAAAGCTTCTTTTGGATATCTCCACACTCTACGACGCCCATCTGACCCAAAGACATTGAACTTTGACTCGTCAGTCCATAAAATATGTCCCAGAATGTTTGTGGCTTGGAAATGTGGTCTCTGGCAAACTTCACTCGTTTGGTTGCATTCCTCGGTACAATAAGAGGCTTCCGGACTGCTCTGTGGGATTTCAAATTTCCCTTATTCAGTGTTCTTTGGATGGTCATAGGACTAACCTGTTTGCCGAACATCTCCTTGATCTCGGTAGATAGCTTTGGAGCACTAAGTGAGGGTGTAACGTTGACTTTGTCGAGCACGTGGCGTACTTCTCGGTGAGCCAAAATCGGTTTTCGACCACTTCTGACCTTGTTTTGGACTGAACCCTTAGCTCTAAAGTTCTTAATGATTGTCTGGATGGTTGTCCTTGCTAATTTATACTTGGTCCCTATTTGTCTCTGCGACAGCCCCCCTTTTTGTCCACCCTTCCAGTCCTGAATGACAAGATCTCGAATAGCGATAGGAATTTCCTTGCGTGTCGACGCCATCATATTTTTCTGGAAGAAAATTATTTAAAAATTAATGCGGCATATGTTATTGATAGATTTGTAAGTTACCTGATTTTATAAATTGGAGAGATTTTTGTTGTTGACAATTAAAGTGAAGTGGACGTAGACTTTTGTCCGCTCAAATTTCATCCTCTCTCGCTCTGCACTATGATTCTCAGTTTTCCCAGAATTTTCAGAAATAACTCATATGTTTTATGAAATTACGTTAAATTTGTGAGAATTTGATATATCAATGATGAAAATTGGTTCAGTAGTTCAGTGACAATTTGAAAATGAAATTGACGCGACTATGTGGACGTAGACATCTGTCCGACACTGTATCTATAGGCAAATCTGAATTTATAAGTAATGGATTATTTACATAAATGAGTTCAGTGGCCGCGAAAGCGTGCGGACAGAGGGTCAATATCCCCACGATAATTCGATGTCCCCATCATCTGCGCATGTTATACAAACTCCTCCCTCCCCCCATCCTACAATGTTAACGTCCCCATATGTCCCCACAGAGCTCCGCAGCCTCTGCATGAGTTGTTAGTTTGTGACATGGAATATTTACATAGATATAAAGTGAGTCTTTTCCATAACGACGCTGCAATGGTTCTGGACTCTGACCTCTTTCTCGCATTACGGGACCATTCATATATTACGTCAAAAATCAAAAATTCTCGTTTTGAGCACCAACCGTTATGTATATTAAGGGATAGGGAATTTTAACATGGGAAAGATAGGAAGACTTAGGTGCATGTACCACTAAAATGATGACATAATATACCCAAGTTCCCCATGATATGGTGTTTGGGTATTGGGGGATGCATTTCATTCCTTTGGGATGGCTCCTTATAAATATAAATATTTACGGCTGAATATATATGTTCAATGTATTGAACCCTGCTGCATTCGTTCTTTGTATACATTCACTCACTCATCTGCCACAGCTGCTCTCGAACGCTTTATATAACTTTCTCCTGGTTTCACACAAATTCATTCTGAAGAGGCAATAACTTGAATAATCTGATATAATATACGTAAATTATGAAGGTAAAAATGATCTCGCTGGAAGATATTTTTAGACTGATGGTGATTTTTATTAAACAACTTGGTTTTGTACATAGGAGACATTCATACATATGTAATAATATGTGGTCAGAAGTGACCATACAAACTACGCAGAGTTATGCTCAAACAAAGTGTCCCTTCTAATGAGGCATAAAAACAAAAGGACCCTTTTAATCCCTTGTCCTGGGAAAAAGGTTGGAAAATGCTCAGCCCTCATAAAAGTCGACAAACTTAAAAATTGATAAATATGGAAAACTTTGTTAACATGCATATTTTAACATCCTCCCTCAATTTTTAAAGTTCAATATCGGCAGTTTCCACTGGATTTGCCCTAACCGAAATTACATTTGGCCGGCTTTTCAGAAAAAGGAAAACACAAAGAGTGGCTTGAGCAACTATTATTAGTATGCAAAGGGTTAAGATCCATTCCATTGTTGACCAGGCTGGTTCATTGCTTGTGTGGTAGTGGATTGACCCTCCTTCGTCAGTGGAACCATTGATCATCAGACTGGTCCAGTTGAAACTAGGCTGCAAGTGCCAGTTGGCTTTCATCGTGAATAGTGGGTCGACTACCTCTTGGTGAACAAGGCTGGATTCAGTTCCTGAAAATTCAATATCATTTATTTTAAAATTAGCATTCATTGGAAGGATGAACACGCTAGCAGGGCATTGTTGCAGCTTCCTCTCAATGGTAATATTGGACCCAGGGCAGTAGATATGATATTGTCCATGGTGTAGTTTGATTTGTACAAAATCCCATGGTTCAGCAAGGTTCTTGTCATAACAGTGGTCTATGTCAAAGTGATTGGAGTTCTTTGTTTTCGCTGTTGGCGTGCATCCTCGAGTGGGCGAAACAATTAGGTCGGGGGTTGTAGGCTCCTTAACATTGATGGAGTATACGCAGTCATCTTTCGTAGAAAGGATGGCATTATGGGGTCCCTTGTACTTTAGAACGCAGGTTTCATTCTTCCTTTCAACTTTGAGATCGAAGGAGTCTGCCTCGATGAGTTGCAAATCTTTGTTAATTTCAGTTGCTGTGAAATCCACATACAGCTTGGTTCTGTCATCTGATATTTCGCACTTTTGAGATTGTGCGAAGCTGACTGGGCAAGCATCACCACAGGGTAACGTGAAATTAAAGAAATCCATTAGTGGTGCGTAAACTTTTCCTCGCCGCCACTGTCTTGTTGCTTCTCTAATTATTTCTCTACCTATCATGAGGCGACTGGTAAGGTAGGCAATTGCGAAATTGGTGTCAATGGATTTTCCCTTGAGTTCGTCGTGATCAAGCTGATGTAGCTGAAGCTGTTCTAGTGTAGCATTTAGGCTAACCTTAAGCTTCTCAATCTCTCTTTCCGATATTTCCACGCGACGTTCAAATTCATCCAGCATCTCTCTTTGTTCCGCTACTGTTCCTTGCAAAGCAGAGATTCTTCCAGTTTGAACAAACGAATTGATTGCTCCACCAACTGATAAGCCGGCTACAAGGACAGTCACACCAATTATTACTCCAACTGCAAGTAATGGGAGGACTCTCTTCACTCTTCGTCCAATCTCTCTGGTATGTCGCGAATTAATATGATCGGAGAATTTTCTTTTAGGGCACATTTTTTCTAGCTCATCTAGGAACATTTCGTCGTATATTTTGTTACATTTCTCGGTTGCATAGGCACTTAAATCCTTATGGAGTAGATCCTGTGTTAAAATTTCGCACGGGTTCATGAATTTGACGAGCAAGTGGACTTGGTTATATCCCGTTGTAACTGGGATTGGACTCTTTTTCCATAGTAAAGGGATCGCATTCTGATGTGTCACCCCACAAGCTTGCGTAATAAACATAAGAAGGATGGTGAGAAGGCTCATCAGTGAGAAGTTGGCTTGGAGGGGACCTCTCTTTACTTTAGTTGGGTTGTCCTTGCTCTCCTTT